CTTCCCTTGCCCGGGCTCAGACCCAGAGGCAGGCAGGCGTGAGCTGTTAATGATTCTGTTTGCCTTTCCAATGACCTCAAGAGTTCCACTGCCCGGACCCCCCCTGCCTCGGGTGCCCAGCCACCCGCTTCCCTTGCCCGGGCTCAGACCCGGAGGCAGGCAGGCGTGAGGCCCAGGGCCCCTCTGCACCCCAACGGCTCCTCGTGTCTGAGCCGTGGGATGATCACAGGGGTGACGGAGGGCGCTGGGCACAGGCCACGGCAGTGCTGCTGCTGGCCGCTCAGCTGGCTGGCCACCCCTGCCTCAGTTTCCCCACCCGCTCTGCGCCTTGTCCTTGGTCGTGAGGGTCGGGCTGTGGCTGCCGTCGTGGGCAGAGCTGTGGCTGGGGCTGGGGGAGAGGCAAGGTCCGCAGGGAGTGGGGCTGGGGCTGTCCTCAGACTCACAGCCCCACGTCAGCTTGGCCGGGCCGAGCCAGGGGTGTCCAGCTCGGAGGACGCGCCCCCACCCTCCCTTGCACTTGAGGGGAAAGTGCACACAGCGTTTATTAGCCCAAAGCCGCTTTCCCCCTGATTCCCAAGCCCATGTGCACTTATAAAGGAAATTCAATCGGGTTGTTTTTAATTCTCTCACACTTAACTCATCAGGATGCTATTCTGTGAGAGCCGACCAGACGAGGGCACCTCCTGAGTCGGCGTGCAGAAGGGCGAGCTGGGCCGGCCAACAGCCAGGTGCTCCCTCAAAGGGACACAGAGGGGTGACACAGTCTGTAGAGCTACCCCACCTCCAGGAGCTCTGCTGGGACCGGGGTGTGCTCCTACTGAGGTCAATGGAGTCCCTCTTCCCAGAAAGAATCTCAGAGATCCTGGAACTTGGACCCTGCCTCCTCAGATACAGCCCGAGTCCAGCCCAGCCCCCAGCCCTGGGGGGAGGTGGCCTGAGAAGCCAGGGGGCACTGGAGAGCCCTCCTGATGGCCCCCAGGACAGCCTCCCTGAGAGGGGACATTCTCAGAAAGGAGGCAGGCGCGTCCAACGTGGAGCCCAGCCTGGGCGCCGGCAGACAGAGCCAGCTGGTGAACGCCCCTGGTGTCCAGTGAGGGCCACTGCTCCCAACGCAGCCTGATTCCCCAGCTGTGTGGGCAGAACAGTGTCCGCCAGGGAGCCCGCTCCTGCAGTGTGTGAGATGGTGCCTACCTAGACTGACCGTCTTTCTGCCAGGAGAGGTCCAGCTGTGGCCCCCATATGGGGAGGGACCAGCAGGAGAGCTCCAGAGGGCAGTGGCCAAAAGAGGGACACGGGCCAGCAGCAGAGCACCAGCACATCCCAGGCCCCAAGTAGCTGCAAAGCCTCTGGAAATGGGGCGCGAAGCATTTGCAAGCACAGGCGGAGCCGGGCCGAGGGGCTCCGGAGAGCCCTGTGTGTGGGCGCTGGAGCCGGGGGTCAGGCAGCCAGACCCGCGGGGTGCGGCCAGGAGAGGCACGAACAGCCCCCAGCTCCTGGACATGGCTTCCCCTTGCCAGCCTGGACTCCTGGCCCGGTGCGGGCACAGGCAGGTGTGGGTGCCGCTGGGCTCTAGACCACAGGCGCTGGCACACCCCACGGGGCCCACCCCCACCAGCAGCCCTCCGTGCCCAGACAGGCGTGCGTGGGGACCTTGGTGGCCACCAGTCCTTCCCAGCTGTCCTTCCTCCCTGTCATCCTCTTCCACAATAGAGCCAAGAGGGGTTAGGGAAACCTGGGGGGACACGGGCAGTGCAGGCCCAAAGGGTCTGCTGCCCATTCAGCCCTGGCTCCAAGTAGGACGGTCAGCCCAGGGCTTCAGGCCAGGCCCTGAGGAGCCCAGAGGACCCAGCCAGCCCGCGTGACAGGCTGAACACCCTGTGGCTCCCTCCTTCCCAGCTCAACTTGGTGGCCCTGCCCTTTACCCCTGCTGCCCAGGGCCTTCCCCTGACGCGGTGGGTTAGGGATGCCCTTGGGGTGGCGGGTGGCACCTGAGTCCCACCCAGGCCAGGCGGGGTCTGCCTGGGTGCTGTGCGGCCCCAGGTGTGCTCGGGCCTTCCCGCCCACCTCAAGGGGCCTCGTTAAGCAGGGGGCTCCCGGCCTCAGCCCCACTCACTGCCCCCCACACCTGTGCGGCCTCCTTTGATGAGCATACACTGACCCCTGACCTCCACTTGGGCCTGGCTTGTGCAGGGCCTGGGGGTCCAGGGGAAACTCTGCTTGGTCCTGCGTAGAGGTGGGGTGACTTGGGAGAGAGACAACCCCACCCCACATCCTCCTGGGCAGGACTCAGTGGCGAGGGCAGGATTTGGGGCTGGGGTGGCAGCCAACCCCACAGGTCACCCTGAGTGCAGAGGACCCCCGAGCCAGGGTCTGACTGTGAGGGTAGGCAGTGGGAGCCGGGGCCCTCAGACGCCCAGAGGCTCCCAGAGAACCACGCAGGCCGGCCCAGCTGCCCAGCTGCCCTGGTCCCACACGTCCCTGGGCTGACCAACATCCCGCTTTAGGAAAGGCAGCCCCCAAGCATGACCCAGCGGTCTTGACCCTGGCCAGGGGCCCCGAGGCAAACGCGGGTCTCAAGTGCTGGGGAGAGAGAGGGAACCAGTGCTGACCCCACAACTGAGGCCCCCGACAAGCAGCACCCCACCCCAGTGGACACCAGAATAGAGGGGACATGAGAGCTCAGGACCCAGCCTCCCTGGTAGAGCCCAGGCTCCAGGAAAACACCAGGGCTTGGGTGGACACCCAGATCCCAGGAGACCCAAGACCCCCAGTGGACTCTGAGGCTTAGGTGGACATTCCACCCCCAGTAGACAACACGGTCCCAGGTAGAAGCCCAAACTCCAAGTAGACGCTCAGGTTCCATGGGACTACTTCAGAGCTTGGTGGACAGCCAGGCCCCAGGTGGATACCCAGGATCCAGGAGAAATCAGAGCTCAGGTGGACAGCCAGGCCCCAGGTGGACACCCAGGATCCAGGGAGATATCAGAGATCAGGTGGACATCCAGGCCCCAGGTGGACACCCAGGATCCAGGGAGATATCAGAG